TTGTAAAACAAAAAAAAGTTTGGAAACCACTGCATTAAAGGATAACTTTGACGGGGCACTTAACAATACCTAACCAATTAGTTTCCGGTACCAAACACGACTTTAACTCAAGTTAAAATGTTTGCATCAGTAAAATGTCTTTTTTTCCCCTTTTAATACCACAAAATTCATTTCTTTTTGTGATAAACAAGCAAATTAAAATGCTTTGTACTGACTCACTTCTGGAGCCATTCAAGGAGTGTTTGGCTGACTAATGCTACATCTATACATCCTTCTATTGTACTAATCAATTATTTATTGGTTTCACTATCATAATCCAGATGTCTTTCCTGTGAATGTGAGGTAATTTTCTTTATTTTTCAGGATGAACATACCGTTCGTCATCTTCACTTTGATCAGAGACACTACAGGGAGGTCTGGGATGTTCCGGAGCTGCATGATTATTTTAGTGCACCACAGCCTGTTGTTGGCCAGGACTACATGCCTTCTTTTTCCTTCTCTCAGACTCCCAAAGGTTACTACAATAAGCTTCTGAAGAAACTCCAGCCACCCCTTACTTTACCCACTACAGGCCTCACATCTCAGCCAGGCGTTCTGTCTTTTCCAGGAAATGATGTATTTCCTAACCCTTCATATGACCTGACAGTGCAGGGTGAGGACCAGCAGACACAATCACATCTTCAGATCCAGCAGGGCATATGTATAATTGATAGCTTTCATGAATACCAGCCTCAGAGCCCTGAGGAGACCTTTACCGCAACTCATCCTGAGGACGTACCAGACAGTCCTCTTTCATATTCGTTCACGTACATTTTGTTGCCACAGAAGACATCCAAGTAGCTGCTGCATGTGTGAACACATTTAAAACTTATGTGAGTACTTCAGTCATCGTTAACTGCTGTATAGTTCATCCATCATCCACCAGTTCATCATTGAGTCAACTAGGGTTAGGGTTGGGTTTTGCTTTAGTCACACGCTAAACAGGCATAATTTTAAGTGTAAAAGATGTTTCCTTTCAATAAAGTCTCAGACTCACTGCCCAGCCCTACCCTGGTGGATGCTGGGTATGATTACGATATATCATGCATGTATGAATCTCTATAGAAGTGATAATTATAGTCATAAACAAGCTTTCTAATAGTGAGTTTGGCTTCATGCTTTCCGGTAATTGTGAGCCACCTTTACCACATATTTTAAGAACGCAAAAGATACAGCTGAAACACTGTTCCAACGAACACAGCTCTGGGATATAAAGAAAGATACTGCATGCCAGGCACATGTGGATGCGTCACCACTTTGTCAGTGCAGAAGAAACGAATGTTCTCAGAAACAGCAGAACAGTAAAACTCCTACAAGTTCTCCCTAGGGTTAATTAGTGGACTTCATGGTAAGCATGTGTACCTCTTTGAAGGCCAAATCAGCACATATATGTTGCCAAGCGGTAAAAGGTCCATATTAACAACAACTCTCCAACTTGTTTATGTGCAAAATCAGAAGTAAAACGTCGCTTCAGAGAACATTTCTACCAGTTGGAGGTTTTTTTTGTTTGGTTTTGTTGTTGTCAAGTTTACTGAACCTTGTGTCATTTTAATACTGTATAACAAAAAAAACATATTAATAAAAGGAAATGCAAACTTTATTTCAACTTATTCTAATGCATGTAGTAAACTCAAGCAAATGATTTTTTTTAAATGGTAACTTTCCCTCACACCTAAAAGAGAAGTGATCACATTCAGGGGTAACATGAGATTCAGTAGGTGTATCGACTCAAAGACTCAAAAAAGAACCAAAATAATCTACATCATAAACTCCAATAGATTTTATGTACAGAGTTACAGAGTGGGATTAGCTGAGCTGTGCTGCTGCTCGTTGTGTTTCTATCAGACTGATTTCAACAAGATAAACAGCTGATTGTGAAAGATTTTACACTCCTTACACCTTGCCTTAAACTGCATGTTTAGATATTCTTCTGTTCTC